GCATGGTCGAAAAAAGAACTAATTGTAAAGGTTAATTGGACTCAAAAAGGAGGTTGAATGCAAGATTCTCAAGAAATTAAAATTGAATTTAACTTGAACAAATCCAATCAAAGTCTGAACATAAAGGAAATCACTGCACCTACCACTACCCCTTACCCCATGGCAGGCGTAGGCTTTGACAGGTGATTAATTTCAGGGCAAAAGATTCCCAAGCTGAAATTGTTTTTCCCAATCTCTTGAAACTGCGATAAAGGAATTTTTTTTCTTTAACAAAACGATTTTGGTTAAAACCCAGAAACCTGCCCAAAGGTCAGATGAGAGGCACTCGTGAACAAAGCAAACTTTGAGAGAATGGAATTATTGATTTGATTTAGATGATGTATCAAATGGAAGAAGGATTCGAAAAAAAAAAAAAAAAAAAAAACGTTTATTTCGAGTTGTGAAGCAGTTGGGGATTTAATTTAGGGAGAGAGAAAAAACCATCGGTTTGCGTTTCGAGCTGGCAAGAGAGAAATATGACTATTGATTGTCTAATCACGTGACCAGACTAAAACGAACACACAGACACAAATCGATTCTCTCATATTCTCTCATGATATAACTAGGACAACACCTAAAAACTCTTAGAGGCCGATCGCATTGACAAAGCCAACCAAATACTGGAAAGGAAAAATACATTGAATCGTAGTAAACAATACATATGGAAACATGAATAAATCTGGCGTTTGTTGTCTTTTCTAAAATATCCACTATGGTACGTTGACTTTGTGAATTTAATGGCAGTACTAGATTGGCAATGAGGTCTCATTAATATACAATTGTATTGGATAAATATATCCGTAAGTTCTATGCTAACAGTTTCTTTTCTCGCACTTCTCGCTTGTGGAACTCTCGTCCGGCTCTATGCTTTTCGACCAACGTTGACCATAAAAAATTTAAATACAATTGTTATCTTCTTAATTCTTATTCTTTCATTATCCTCTCTCCTTAATAGTAGTTTTTTTTCTCATATTCTCTAGCACCCAGTAATCCCTTGAGTCCTAGTGGCTTTTCTGTCTTGCTTGGGGTGAAATGATAAAAAAAAATATTTTTTTCTGTTATTTTATTTATCCTATTTTCAACTGATAAATCTAAGTTGGTACGATTTGAACCCGCGTCTCATGGCCACGAATGATTAAAACGTTGCCAATAAGGCAAACATAAGGTTTTGGACATAAATAATCCCCCCACCTTTCGGCCTTTCTTTTAGTTTCAATTCAACATTCACTCTTCATATGACCCCCCAACTTAGGATCTTAAGGTTAACATCGGGGTTGATTCCAGCGGGCCTCTTCCCCTTTTAGAGAGATAACTCCCGCCCTCCACTTACCATCAACACGGGCTTTTTATCTGGCTGAGGCGTCATTTTGTGTAGGTTCGGTATCTTTTCCTCGACTGCTATCTAAATTAAATCCCTGATTCCGAGACAACTCTAGGGTTGAAGAAGACTGGCGCAAGGTTGCTCGGGTGAAATAGGCTGTACCCACATGCGGTAATTTTGGAATTTTTTGCTGTGTAATATATATATATATATATATATATATATATATATTTGTGTGTGTGTGTGTGTTTAGAGTGGCCACTGAAAAACTGAAGGGTTTGAAAAGTCATAACTTTTTCAATCTTTTTTATTTTATTTTTTTTACAGGTTTATAGAGCATCACTTGGAGATTAAATTGGCTACGGATGATGCCCAGCAACGAGTGGAACTCATTGAATTTTTTCTATTCCAATGGAAGATCAATTATCCAAACTCAGAGAAAATACTGGCAACATTTTAATGTCAGAGTATCGCCTAGCGATAACATGATTCTGAACCTAATCGCCCGGTTTGAAAGAAGTGGATCAGTCGGCGATCTTCCGGAAAAAGATCTAAGCACACCGTGCGCACTGGTGCAGCGGTGGAAGCTGTCCGACAGAGTGTCTTTGCGGATCCATCAGCTTCTACCTGTCGTCGCTCAACAAGGCATCGACAGAACATCGCTTCAGAAGATTTCCATGCAAGATAGAAATGGCCCAGACTTTACTTCTCCAAACTACTCATGTATTTGTAACAGTTATTTTTGCTTTATATCATTCAGGCTTTAAGTGGCCATCCTATATATATATATATATATATATATATATATATATATATATATATATATGTGTGTGTTTGTGTTCATGTGATGGTATATTTGTTTCTTTTAAGAGTTTTGATGAATGAGGTGTGTGGTACAAAATCCCGACGTTTTCCCTATCACTATAATCTTAACCTCTTCAAGTATAGGTCAACCGTTATCTACTTTCAACAGCCTCATTCAGTAACCCTCTACATTGAGAGGCTCTTGGGCATTGTATTGGGATTGTAGCGTAGAGGGCTACTTTTAAAATGGAAATGTCGAATAAGGTATGGGATATGAAATGAAAGAGGATGTGGGGAAGAGGTTTTGATTAGGAGGATAAGGAGGATAAATAACAATTGATTGACCCTTGACTTGAAGAGTTTAAGATTGAAGCTTATATAAACAGGGCTAACGAAGTACTTATTAGCTTGGTCTAGTCCAGCGTTTTTGTTTTTGCTGCGACCCATAGCAAGAACCAGATTCTGCATTGTGCCAACGTGTCAAAGAATCAAAGAAAGTGACGTAAGGTCTTCTTCTCACCTGACCTGTTCAACTTATACAGTGAGGCAATTCTGAGAGAACTGGAAACCTTACCGGGATTTAGCATTGGCAGCCAAAATCCTAACAACATAAGATACGCAGATGACACAGTACTGATAGCAGACACGGAAAAGAAATTACAAAATCTCCTACAGAAGGTAGCGACGGAGAGTGAGAAGAAAGGACTAAGCATAAACTATAAGAAGACAGAATGCATGGTCGTCAGTAAAAGGATGAGCCCAAAATGCGATTTGCAAGTCGGGAACACTAGAATCAAGCAGACGGTAAATGCGACACTGAGATCCGTAGAAGTACTGGGATGGCCAAGGACGCATTCCAAAAGCTGGGCAGAGTATTGCGAGACAGAAGGATTTCTTTGGTAACAAAGTAAAGAATATTGAATTGTTACGTAATATCTGTCCTTCTTTACGGAAACAAATGTTGGACGATTTCCTCAAACATGAAGTAGAGACACGAGGCGAAAGAGATGTGGTTCTACAGAAGGATGCTAAGGATATCATGGACCGAGCGTGTGAGCAACGATGAGGTCTTAGAGAGGATGCAAACAAGGAAGAGGCTTATATTAACATCAGGAAGAGGCAGCTGAAGGTTTTGGAACACATAATGAGGAAGGAGTGCCTGGAGAATCTGATACTCACGGGTCGAATAGAGGGAAAGAGAGACAAGGGAAAACAACGTGTGACATAACTGGCGGGCTTAAGCAAGAGGATGACAGAACGTGGTCAAGGGGAGGAAGCAGAGGGAAGGAACTTGTTGAGGGCTGCAAGGGATAAAGGGAGGTGGACAGCCATGACTGCCTACATCCTGAAAGGACATGGCACATAAAAAGAAAGAAAGGTTAATTTATTTAGAATTGACAATTTATATGTATATTTCTTATGATCCGAACATATTAGAATTTCATGTATCTATTTGTACTATTTGTGTGCATATAAGATTATTAGTTAAAAAAATAAAATAAAAATAACCCGTTCTTAAATTGCACCGAAACAACAGCCAATTCGTAGAAAATTCTAAAACTTCAAGTGAATACAACACAACATCTTACTACCACAGAAAGAAATGCACCGGTACTTGACTTTTAGCCCTGACTTCAGATGCAACTTAATTATTCAACGATCTTAACGGCTTTCACTGGTCACGACGACGAACGCACTGACCGCCTTCGCAGCTAAATTTGTGGGAGAGAACTCAGTGCGTAACGAGACTGACGAACAAGATACATAAACGCAGTGAGAACAGATTCTCTCTCTCTCTCTCTCTCTCTCTCTCTCTCTATATATATATATATATATAATTATTTATTTAAGAATATGATTCCAACACGCTACATAAGAGTTCTCATGTTTCAAAACAAGAGCCAAAAACTTCAATATAATTATTTGAATTAAATTGAATTAAAGTAAGCTCTGTTCCATCTTCAAGCGAATTTTTTTTTTTAAATAATAACAAAAATACTAAAGAACTTTGGATTATTTACCTAACGAGTTCTTTCCTATTTTCTATATCTTCCCCCCCCCATATATATATATATATATATATATATATATATTTAAAAAGATAAAATATAATACGAGCTTACCTCGGTGAAAAACTAGCGATGATTTATGAGTGCTGTGCAACCAACATTCAGAGTGGTTTATATTCTGTTCTTTACTTTCACTTTCGTAATTTTGTCTTTCTTTTTTTTTCATGTCACGACCCATTTTTTTATCTCACGACCCATTGAAGGGTCGGGACCCACTGTTTGAAAAAATCTGGTCTAAAATCAGCTATACTTTTAAGAGCGATAAGATAGTAAACTAACGTTGCACTGAGAGAAAAATATTCGAACTCTGAGCCGACATCATTATTTTCTAACTTCTGAATAATGTCTAACATTGTTCAGATGAAGCGTTATTACGCATTTATTAAAATGGCTGACTGTTCTACTAAAAGAAAAACAAGAAAAATACTCCCTAAAGTTAAAGTCTAGCAAACCTGTTAAATAACTCGACCTAGTGTCTCCGTATTCATTATTATCTGCTGTTGTTATGAATTTTTCTTATTTTGTAAATTTCTATCGTTTCAATTAATCATTTTTTTTTCTTTTTGGTTTTTGCTTTCTCCATTTTATCTCAAATTCCAACGTTTTATTTTTTTCATTTTCTCATATTTTTTTTCGTGGGGGTGGGGGTGCGCAGGCGCAGAAAAGAACACATTTCCAAGACAGCCAGTTACAAAGTTGATGCCTGTCATTGTTTACTTAGAAAAGAACATTATAAATAAGGCAATTCTTTTTTTTTTTTTTTTTAGAAATTCCGTCCACTTTTGTTGTTAGTCATCGTTGCGTCCTAGCCTTTCTCCATTTTTTTATTACTTCATTTCTTTCTTTCCCTCGTCATTATTTCTTTTCATGTTTCTTCTTTCTTTTTCTTCGCTTTCCCTTGATCCTCTGCTTTATATTCTTTCTCTTGTTGAATCTAATTTCGTCTTCTTTGCAGCTCTTTTGTTTTTCTCCAGCTTTGTCTCCTAATTCATACCGACATTTTTCTTTCATTTTTACTTGATAATTTTCCCGCTTTTTTTCTCTCGTTTCTTTTCGTCCATTCAATCTCTCTTTCCCCTTCTCTATCACACACTCTCTCTATCATACCCTCTCTCTTATCATACTCTCTCTCTGTCACCCTTTCTCTCTCTATTACACTATGTCTCTTCCTATAAATATCTTTCTCACTGTCACTCTCTCTATATCTCCATCTCTTTTTTTCTCTCCATTACTTTCTATCACTTTCCATTTCTCTCGCTATCACCACCTCTTTCTTTTTATATCAAACTCTATTACTCTCACGTACTCTCTCACTCTTTCTCCCTTTCACGTGATCTCTATCACTTTCTCTCTATTATATTATCTTTCTCTAACATTCTTTCTCACTATCATTCTCAATCTTTCTCTCTCACTCTCCCCCTTTTTCTCTCAGTTACTCTCTATCACTTTAAAATGTATCTCGCTATCACCCTCTCTTTCTCTTTCTATCACACTCTTTTTCTCTCACGCACTGTAACTCTTTTACTCTATTTCTTTTTCTGACGGATGCTCTCACTCTTTCCCTCTCTCTTTGACTCTCTCTATCATTCTCCCTCTTTATCTCACGTATTCTCTCACTCTTTGTTTTCTCCACTTTCTATCTCTATCACTCTCACTTTTCTCTATTTCATTATCACCTTTTCCCTCTCTATCATTCTTTATCTCTGTCGAATCATTCACTCTCTATTACTGTCCTTTTCTCTTTCTATCACTTTCTTTTTATCTCTCTTGCTCACTTTCTCGCTTTTCTCTATCACTCGCTCTATTGCTGTATATTTCACTATATCTATCACTCTCTCTTTCTAGCAGTCTCCCTACCATTCTATTCTTTTTGGATTATTTGTATCCTTTTCTTTCTTTCAAAGAACTCGTTTCTCATTCTACTTCTTCGAAACAATGGACAGTTCTTTTATAAACTTTTGTCATGCAACTTACCAGCGAAAGAAGTAGAACTTCAAGTCCCTTAACCTCCGTCAAAATGCAAAAACCACTTAACAACACACATTTTTAGAACGCAAAAACTAAACGTTGTTGGGAGTAAAGAAAATATACGATAAGTATTACATCACCTTGTTTGCGAGAAATATAAAAAGAAAACGCCTGCTTTTCTCTTTTTTCTCTTTTCAACCACAGTATATTGTAGTGACAATTCGTGCCTCGTATCACCTCTGAAGAAACTTCTCAACCTATCGGAAAAACTCTGCTTGTATTTATATTAAATGATTGATTTAATGAAAGAAACATGTATAGACGATTGAGAAACATGTAAACGCTAAAAAAGATAGGTATTTGCATGTTTTTTATAGAGAAACTTCTAAAGAATTGATAGATTTTATTTTTAATCCAGCATATTTTTAATATTTTTATTATTTCAAATGTTATTTTTAATGCAGGAGGGACCACCCTCAGATCAGGTTATGTACTGGCGTTTTAAAAGAAAACTACAACACATATCAATTCAGCATTTAATTTCCTTTGAAGTACCCCCTTTCAAAACCACACATTTTATCCATTGATGGAAACATTCCTGGAACTCCTTTTTTGGGATAGCAAGCGGCTGCTTTGTCGCATTCTCTTGGATTTGCTCAATGTCTTCAAATCTTGTTCCTTTCAAGTGACATTTGGTTTTGGGGAATAAAAAGTATATATGTATATATGAAATTTGACAAATGGAAAACGTTTCATTAAAAATAGATGTGAGTACGCGTTTCGCCTTTCTAGGCTACATCAGATCCACAAAAACAAAAGAAAAAATGAGTGTATTTGTGTGTATGCTTAAATAATGAATCATAGTACTTTTCCCCTAGGATGGTGTTTTTTTTGTGATTAAGCAAGAAAAAGAGTTACTTTTAAAAAAGCCGTCAATATCTATTCTGTATCTTTTCTTCATAATTCTTAGTTCATGTCAATAGTTGTTAATATATATTTTCCCAGTTTTTTTTGTGTCGAATTAAAGATAAATCCTCATCGCATTTTCAGAATGGCTTGAAAGCATCTAGCCTTTTCTGTAATGAATCCAAGGTAAATTCTTATCCAATTCTTTAGAATGGGTTTAAAGTAAAAGATTTTTATGTTTTTTGGTCAATCCATGTGTTTTCCGTGTCGACAATATATTTTTAAAATATGATATAGAATCGTGACAAAGTTTTTAAAGATTTTTTTTCTTAAAAACTTTGGCGAGATTCGATATCCTATTTTAAAGACACACACACACACATATATATATATATTTAATCGGTATCATCCTAAGGCAGTATAGCCACTAGCACACAAGTGGTTACAGGGTGCAGACGAATTAGGAACAGAAACATTAGTAATGAGGAGAAAGAGGAAAGAGCAATCAGAAGGACAGCAAATAGCGATTGACATTGCATTTAATTTTTTGTAGATTAATGTTGGCTGGAAAGCATGGAGCCGGAAGGGAGTTCCACAAGTGAGAAGTGCGAGGTAAAAAAAACTGTCAGCATAGAAGTTACGGTTAAATCAAACTGTAAATTGATGAGATCTCGACACCAGTCTAGTATTACGCTTAAATTCATACAGTCTACGTAGCAGATCGAAGAGCTCATTCAAACAATTACCATGAAAGTATTTATAAAAAAGCCACAGAGATGCAATCTAACGACGGTAAGCAAGTGACTGAAGCCGAACCGCCAGATCAGGAGCAATAATATAGCTGAATCTTTTTAGGATCTCATCAAGGGGCTTCAAGAAAATAGCAGGGGCACCAAGCCATATATGACAACAATATTCTAAGCATGGACAAATGGTAGACTTATAGATATGGAAGATAGATTCTGGAGAGAAAAATTGTCCCAATCGATTTTCTTGGCAGCTGATCTAGCGATGGATTAAATGTTGTCTTTCTACCTCATGTCAGCTGCGAACTTTAGCCCGAGAAGGCGCAATGAATCAATTTATTGGAGGATATCATCAGCCATGTTGATGGAAAGCAGCAAGGGGTCTTTCATATGATTAATGGAGTGAAAGAAGTTTAGATTTGCAGGCGTTAAAATTGATAAGCCATCTTTTACCCAAGTTAGCAATGTCTTGAGATCGTATTGTACATCAGTTGCCATTTTGACATTGTCGGGCTGATCAGCTTTACAATCGAGGCAAGAGTAGATGACAAGTTGAGAGCTGATGTCATCAGGAAGGTCGTTAACGAAGATTAAAGACAGCGTAGGCCCAAGGATGGAGCCCTGTGGGACACCAGCGTTAATACGAAAAGACGTTCAGGACAATTTTCATTTCATGATTTGATAAGAACGACTAGATCAGCTCAAAAACGTATTGGAGATTCTGTAGCTTTTCAGCTTGTGGGGAAGACTTGAATGCTAGACCATATAAGGGCTTTTGTTATGTCTAATTCTATAGTCCGGATTTCACCGTTTTTATCTAAAGCATGATAGAGACTTTCCGCTGTTATCGTGAGTACATCAGAAGTTGATCTGTAGAAACGAAAGCCGTATTGTTTGTCTTAGAAAACGCCCTGTGGTGAGAGATGATGAACCAATTGAGCATTGATTAGGGCCTATAGAAGTTTCCCAAAACGAGGCAGAAGGTTAATAGGCCGATAGTTGGATATGTCAGATGGTTCACTAGAGTTCTTGAAACTCGAACAACAGACAATGAATTCCAACAGACAAGAAAGCAGGAGGCAGCGAGGCATTTATTATACAGTTTAGAGAGATGAGGAGCTAGTCTGGGAGCACACTTTTTAATGATGATTACAGGGATACCATCGAGTCCACATGCTTTGTGGGGATCAAGGTTAGAGATCATAGCAGAAGCCATGGAAGGGGTTATATACATATCACTAAACAGAGAATCAGTTTTAAGTGGGAAGTTAGGCAGGGATATTCCAGATGAATCAACGGTAGAGTTTGAGGAGAATTTAAGGGCAAAGCATTCAGCTTTATCAGCAGAGGATGATAACACCTGAAATAGATTGAAGAGAGGTAGGGGACAGAAACCTTGCACTCATTTAGTACTCTATCAGAGAAACGCCAGTAATCACGACAGCCAAAGTTTTAAGAGGCTATGCAGTGCCTCATTCTCTCAGTAAACAGAGGCTTAGTTTCTTCGAGGACTTTTTTACATTTCTTACGAGCAGTAACAAATAGGCACCTGTTATGACGAGAGCTGTCATGCTGGTATAGCCGGAAATATTGGTTCCCATGTGCTATAGCGGCCGGGCATGCTGCTCTGAACCATGGAGAGGATTTCAGTTTCACCTGGTATTTCCGAGAAGGGATGAAAGTGTCCATGTCGGCTTTGATCCAAGAAGAAACCTAAGTGGCACAATTTTCAATTGGGAGATTGATGATGTTAATCCAAGGAGCGTCACGAAGAAAATCCCGGAATAAGTCCCAGTCAGCATACTGGTACCATAAAGAGGTCTTATGGATAGTGGGTTCCTGTTTAATGAAAGCTTGGAAGGAGTTATCAATAGCTGTGGTCCGAGGTTATCAAGAGGGCAAGTATTGTGAAGCTTGGAAAAATCGAGGAAATGAGAAATAGATCCAATAGAGAAGGATGTTGCTCAGTTTGGCTTGGGAAACGAGTAGGGAAGTTCACGATTGGGGCGAGGGATTGGGCAATGGAAAAAAATAGTGTCTGAATATAGGCAACATCAGTACCCTTTATAATGTTTCAGCTACAGGTCGCGGCGAGCATTAAAGTCACCGAATACAAAGATGTTCGCAGAAGGATGAAGAGAAAGTGCCTTTTCTATACTGTTATCTATTGCATCTAATATACTGCAGTCTTGGGAAGAGGGGAAGCAATGTAAGAAAAAGAGAAAGCTGACAGAGTTTAGTAACAAAAGACGGAAGCACATGAAAGAGTAGTCAGTGGTCTCGAGAGACAATTCTCTGCTCATCGGAAGATTATCCCGGATGTAAACATCAAGGCTACGTATGTGAACTCTAGAATCTTTTCGGTAACGGGGAAGATACCCTGGCATCAAGAATTCATTGG